AACAACGCATCGCTGCCGGGCGTAGGAGGGATGCTGGTAAGAGCAGACACCCCTTCTACTGACCCGTCTTTTGGATGGCTCCATTCTATAGGTGGGGAGCTGCACCTGCTGGAAACCAGGTAAATTGAAATATGAGCCGAAAAATCTCACAAGTCCCATCACATCATAAATCCGAGCCGTAACACATCATACGTTGTCCTTAGTCAATCCCGCCCTTATTCAATCCCCAATCCCCTATTCCCATGCCCTTCAGCCCATTACATTGTGAAACAAAGACATAACACTTCATAGCGCGCCATTTTGTTGGTCACAACCCATATCCTATCCCCAGTCCCCCTACCCTTCAGCTCATCCTTTTGCCATGAAAGGTCTCCGAATGTTATTGGCCCACTACAGGGGCTCCTTGTAGCATACGTTCACCAAGCCTGTCCCATATCTGCCGGGAGGCCAACCAGTGCCTGTGCTGTGACCGAAACTTTGCCATACCGCCGACATCCCGTATCTGACGACATGTGCCAATCTCTTGGCCCCTTCCAACTGCAGCGCCTGGTCCCTGTGACCTATTGACCTCTTGCAGCTGAAGACGCTGTTACTGGCGCAGTTCATATTCTTGGAGTCACGTCGTCCCCCCTGCTTAAGCCGCATGATAGTGATTGCCGGAGGGGCAGGGTCGTGGGAAGGTAGGGGAGCATGACAGGGGACCGAAAAGCAAGCGGGGCAGGACGGGAGGGGATAGTAATGGATAGACTCTTGTACCCAGGGACAGGGGGGGACGTGTCAATGCAGTGAAAGTTCAGGGGACAAGCACAAAATTGGTTGGGAGAAATGGGACTGCAAAGTCGCCCAGCGGTTTCCTTTGCCAGGCCAGCTGTCCTTCCCTCCAGGGCTTCCATTGTATGGTAAGGTCGTCTTGGATCTCAGAGAAGACGCGGTGGGGATCCTGCCAGATTGCCGATACGCCTCCCGAATAGTCACCTTGAGGGCGGCGTCTTTTTCAGCATGGTGATCTTGTTTCATGACCTTCCAGCCATTTTGAGTGCGGGATCTGATTTCCTCTTCTGTTTCCTCGTTGTGCTTTCTGAAGCCCAAATTGGTGATCTTTTCTCTCGTAAGAGCACCTTGCCCTCCAGGCTTGCATTAGAACATGCAACCTCGTATACGTAAAGAGATTTGTGGCAAAGGGGGTCCAGTGTGCCAGTAGTTGCTGATTATCCCCTAGAAGGATGAGGCCCAAGTCCCAGGGAATATGCTGGTCCGTGAGCGAATGGAACGCTGCATCCCACCATCTCCATATCTGGGCAGCCATTGGGCATGCAAGAAGGCAATGTTCAAGGGTTGCCCTGGCAGGCTGTGTCATCCTACCACAGTAGGTGCAGATTGGG